AATTTCATGTATCTATTTATATGATTTAGTTTTAATTTCACGTATCTAGTATTAATTTGATGTATCAAGTATCAATTTCATACATTATATTCAAAAACATGTATCTCAAATACATAGTAAGTATATACATGTGATTATGTGGATCTAAATATAAAATGCAACTGAAACACACAAATTTTAGGAACAAATCATGACCGCGAGTACATGTATCATTAAAAGTGAGATATGTGTATCCAACAGTATTAAAAATCGAGATACGTGCTATTAATTTGAATTAAAGGTGAGATACATGTATTCAACAATTTTAAAGGATCGTTCTTAAACTTAGATCTATTTTCGACCTGTTTTATGAATGGTCATTCATTAAAATTTGAGAAACAACAAAAGCTAGCAAACAATGTAAAACCTAATTTGTAAAAGTTTATTAAATCAAACTTTAGAGCAATATGAACTCTACAACTCATATATATTAATAGAAAATACATATACATTTAATAAATAAACAAAATACATAGAATAAGGAGAAGAACGGTAGATATATAGATGAAAGGAAGATACATAAGACATTTGGATACACAAACATCAGACATATGGAAGAATGACATGTGCATATGACATGTAGATACGCCTAGGATTCAAATATGAACCAAAATCGTTTTTGTTAGATATTATGAGGAGGACGAAGGAAGAGAGAAAAAATGGCAGAGGACGTGGGGTTGAGGGGGGGGGGGGGGGAGAGATATATAGTTGGTGAAGGAGATTGAGGGAGGTTAATTGTTAATGTACCTTCTATTAAGGAGTTTAAATTATAAGATAATTATTCAATATCATATCTGATTTAACTTTTTAAAATATATGGTATAATTATTAAAAAGTGGTATTAAGAGTAATATTTTTAAACTATAGATAATATATGTATATATGGTAGTTAAGTATGTCTAATTATGTAGTTTTTTCTTTAATTTTTAGGCCAATTGTATTTTTAAGTTCCTTTTTTTTTTAATTCAAACTTTATGATTTTCATTTTTAGTGTTCTGAAATTTAGTTTTTTCAGCTCAAACTATCTTAATTCTCTGAATCATATAATTGAGATATGACAAATATGAAAGCTTATCATAGACATCCAAAAAAATTGGATTGTGAAATTCGAATTTCAGAATCACATGCATCCTGAAGTTACAATTGTCTTAAAATTAAGCACTTTCAATTAAGTTAGAATCGAAACATTGTACATGTAGACACTTTTTTCTTGTTTGTGCAAGGAATATGAACAAACAAAATGAGAACAGAAAAAAAAAAAAAAAAAAAGCGTCGATAGCTTCGTTCGATGATTAATTGGATTATCAATCAGCTATAATTGTCCAAGTTGGTATCAAGTGGCCGATGGCTACGTTTAATCATTTGGATATGTCCACACTTATCTAATTGAGGACTTGACTATATTTATGGGTCTAAATATTAAATGAATAAACAGTCCAACATTTTCTCAATTAATAATCAGTCAAAGAGTACGATCTAGTAGTTGGTGTGATCTCTGATTTCATAACGAAAATTATTGGATCTTTATGTTGAGTCTAAATTAAATAATAAAAAATATATTTTTAAACAATTTAAAATTTTAAATAAAATAATGACATGTAATTAAATTTCATCGTCATTCATTATCAAAAACGAGTTTTCACTTCATCATTTTTGAAGTGGCCAATTCCTTCGTTTTCACACGGAGAAATTTTTACTTTTTAGATCTGGTGTAAAAATCAAACTTGGGGGCTAGAACTTTCTGGTCCCATTTTTTCCCATTTTCTTGTTTGACGCGTTGAGTGAGCAAAAAGTTAGACCATTGGGTTGTTACGTTGTACCACTACGACGAAAGTTAATGGAGTCAAACTTTTATTATTATTATTATTATATATATATATATATATCTCATGAATGACCAGGCTCTATATTTTAAGATGAATATAACCACGTTGTAATTATATTGTAAGTATTAAAATACGCTGAAGATTCACAAAGTGAAAATATGTAATTAGTGGGATGTATATGTGAAGTCCAATTCAGAACAAAGAAAAGTAGAAGTGGGATTATAGGTAAACTCCCACTAACTTCCCAAAATAGATTCGTTTACCGACAAAATTCGTCCTTACCACTTCAAATAGTACTCTCCCAATATAAGTACTTGCAATAAATAGGCAGTAAAAATATTGAATTCACGAGCGACCACGTGTTTCGTTTATTTTATTTATTTACATTAAACTAACTCAACTAACAATAATTAAGAGCTTCTCTTTATTATAATAATAAAAATATACAATAGTTAACCATATAATTAAGTGCTAAAAGTATATATACTAACACATGTACATATCATACATCTATTCTTTTTAATTAATTTTTATAATAAAAACAATGTGATCGTAAATTAAAATAAATATAACAACATAAACGAGGATGAATTTAACGTTTGAAATTCCCCAAAAAAGTCCAAATACAAGAGATAAAAGGTACATAAAGACTCATATTAGTCATAACGATAATGCCAACACGGAAAGATTAAAATAACATGTGAAAGTAATTAAAATTTCCTCAAAAAAGTAGTCATTCAAAGTAAGGACAAGAGAAAAAGACTTTGATAAAGTCACCTAGCACTATTAAGCAGCCAAGATTGGCAATGGGCTAATATTAGTAGTATAAATACTAGCCTCCGAATCACTAAGTTTTAACTTTCTTTTAACATAACAATACACCTTTCTCTCACTCTCTCTTTCAAATATCAAAACATAAACTTTTTTTGTTAGGTAATAACTCAACATGGGGAGGATGGTTCTTATAGCTGCAGCAATGACTCTTTTTGTGACCCTTCAAGTTTTGCAAGCTCCATTAATGGTTTCTGCCGCTACCAAAGGAAAGATGGTAACTATTTTGAGTATCGATGGAGGTGGTATTAGAGGCGTTATTCCTGGCACCCTTCTTGCCTTCCTTGAATCCAAACTTCAGGTATACCTATGCTACATATTATATACATCATACGTTTTATTTCATATGACAGTATTTCACTGTACACTGATCCGTACAAGAAAAAAGAAAGATGTTCAAATATGCTAGGAACTTATTATTTTAAGCATGTTTTGATATTTCTAACTGTCCAATTAAAAAGGAAAATGTGTCTTATAAACTGAAACATAAGAAATACTAGTAGATGACGACTTTCTTCTCATATCCTTATGATGAATTTATTTGTGTAGGAACTTGATGGACCAAATGCAAGACTTGCAGATTACTTCGATGTAGTAGCAGGAACAAGCACAGGTGGATTAGTAACAACTATGCTTACTGCTCCTAACAAGGATAATCGTCCTTTATATCAAGCAAAAGACATTTCCAATTTCTACATGCAACATGGCCCTCAAATTTTTCCTCAAAGCAGGTTAACAACAGTGAATTAATTACTCAAAGAGTTTGTTTTTTCTTTCTAATTTTATGCTTTAATACTGAAGGCAAGTGTTTAATTATGTATGATTCAGGCGTAACAGCTTTGTGAGAAGGGTCACAAATTTGTTTGGAGGACCAAAGTATGATGGCATATACTTGAGAACAATTATTAATTCAATATTAGGCAATATTACAATGAAGCAAACGCTGACTAATACAGTCATACCTACTTTTGATATCAAACGTCTTCAACCAATTATCTTCAGTACTGCTGATGTAAATTTCTATCCTAACAACATTCTTTATCTTCATATATTTTCTTTCTATACTATATAGTTATTCAAATTAATTTGTCTACAGGCAAAAGCAAATATCTCAAAGAATGCTCAATTATCAGACGTTTGCCTTAGTACCTCGGCCGCACCCACATATTTCCCAGTGCACAGTTTTGAGACTAAGGATGCTCAAGGGAAAACACGTACGTTTGATCTTGTCGATGGAGGTGTAGCTGCAAATAATCCAGTGAGTAGCCACAAAAGTTAAAATTTTATATCTTATTCTTTTGAAATATCAATATTGACACATTTTTTCTTGACTCTTATCTTAGACCTTAATGGCAATAACATACGTTTCAAAACAAATCATGACGGGCAACTTTCAATACGAGGGTATGAAGAATATGGACTGCAAGAAAATGTTGGTTCTGTCGTTGGGCACGGGTATAGGCAAGCAGGAAGAGAAGTATAATGCTACAGTGGCTTCCAGATGGGGGATGTTAGGTTGGGTGTACAACAATGGTGCCACTCCTTTGATAGATATCTATGGTGATGCAAGTGCTGATATGGTAGACATACATGTTTCCACCATGTTTCAGACCCTTGGTAGTGAGAAGAACTACATCAGAATTCAGGTAAAAATGACCCAACTTTTCTTAGTATTTTCAAAATACATGATGAAAATAAATCAGCTAACGCTTTTCTGGTTTGATTGGTACAGGATGACAATTTGACAGGGGAGGCTGCATCTATGGATATTGCAACAACAGAAAACATGGAGACACTAGTACAAATTGGTAATGATCTATTGAAGAAGCCAATTTCAAGGGTCAACTTAGAAACAGGCCGATACGAACCAGTTGTTGGGGAAGGCACCAACGAAGCTGCTATAGTCCGCTTTGCTCAGTTGCTTTCAGAGGAAAGGAAGCTCCGAATAAACTAAGGAAATACTTGTAGAATTTTTCACACAATTTGTTGGACGATTAGAAGATTAGTTTGTATTCTTTTACCTTCAATAGTTAAGCGCCTAAATAGTAGACCATGTTGTACTATGAGAATAAATATCCCAAGAGGAAAATAAAATTTATGTAATTGTTCTGTTTTTTTCTCATAAACACCTATCAACTGTTGTTTCATTAAGGTGTCATGTACTCAAATCTGCTCTGGCTCGCACATCACAGGAGCCTAGTGCACGAATGGATTCATGCAAAACAGCACAATTGAATTGCAGCTGCTAGTAAGTCCACGGGAAGATAAAAACGAATCCAGGAAACTGACTTTGTACTAAAAATATTGCACATCAAGAGGTTAAAAATATTGAAGTAAGCTGAGACAAAGGACTTTGCAGAAGCCACAGATAACCAAGTTTGGGGCATCCATATCATTATATTATAAAATGGAAGGATACTTTATCCTGCATTAAGTTCCCTTTCACTTTCTGTACAAAACACGTTGAGGTATATTCAGTGCTATATATTTTGTATTCAACAGAAGAATGCCCACAAAGCAGAATTAAAAGTCAAGTCAGAAATCGGCTCAAACTTTGATAACCACGGTTAGTTTTTGTACTCTATGAGAAGTTGAGAACAAACCCTTCGTTTTTGTACTCCATGAGAAGCAAATCCTGCAAGAACTCAAAATGTAGAAAGGAAAAAAAAGATCAATGAGATGGAAGTATATACAAGAAATTGATGTACCAAACTACCAAGGTTTCTATTGCTCCTACAAGATAAGACATAACAGATTGATCTGACAGGCTAAAATAGAGAGAAAGAAGATGACGTGGGCGCAAAATACCTGATTCTAGCTGTTTTGAGGCCCAAAAGTTAACCTGAACCACTATACTTCTATTGTGACTGTGCCAAAAGTTTCAACTAACAAGTATTAGTAACAGCCAGCATTTGATATCTCAGAGCATCATAAATTTTGGATAATGAAAAAATATGATTGCAGGTTGAAATTTGAAGAAGAGTTCAGCATACCACTGGAAATTTTACTGAAACATTTTAGCATAACCCTTCTTCTCCTGCTCTAGTTTATAAGCAATCTGTCATAATTGTTAACAAATTAGAGAACATGTAGTTTTTGAAACTACAGAACGTGTATTTTTTGAGAAGGAAAATTAGAAAACATGTATTATGTTCATATACTTGAAATTGCAAAAGGAAGTGAAGATGTTGGATCAAATTTTTTGATTTGATAATGACTAACCTTCTTCATTGCAGCAGCCAGCTCCTTCTTTATCCCCCCTGAAAGTAAAATGTAAGAAAAAGTTCCCAGGGCTGATACTCAAGACTAGAGGTGAATAATATTATTTCCTTTATTCGTACAAAATATAACCAGTCAAACAGAGTTTAATGTGAACTTTTTATGAGGGTAGGGAGTTTGGGTTGGTGCGAAGTGTACCACACTTTGGGTACAAATCGGAAATTCCAGTGAAAACTCTATGAGTATCTCTGAGTCTTTTATATAATCAGTTTAGGCAAAACATAATGAACACGCTTTTTCAACTGCTACTTCTCCTTTTATGGATTAAAAGTTCCATTGCTGGATGAAAAGGACTTCTATATGCAAGTTTGGATATCCAAGTTACCAAGCCTGAGATTCACAGCTAAAGACAGCAACCTTGTTTCGCTCCAAGAGAATCATCTAATACAACTTGTATACAGGTAGCCAGGAAATAATGCAGAAAAAGGTTAAAAAGGAACGGCAGCACATGCATTAATCAATGAAGAAAAATATACTCTTTATACTTCAACATTTGCCAGAGTTTCTTTCCTTAAAATGTCAAAGATGAAATTGTAGGTCACTAACCATTGTTTGGCTCTAACTGCAGGGCCTTCTTAAAACTTTCAGCCGCTGCATCTATAGCATTCATTGCCATATATACCTGAAATAGAGAAAACGATGGTTCAATGTTTTGGATATGTATAATACCCCGTATAGTGAAGTATGAAGACAATAAGGTATAAATGAATCAGTAATCCTACACCATCAAGTAAATATTTTAGAACCGTCGTGTCCGGCCCGCTAGCGCACACCTTGACTAATTCAATAGGATACCAACTGCCTCCCACCAAGGCAAGTACCGGGTAACTCTATCTATCAAGGCTTGGACAGATGGGAAAAAATTATCTAGTCTTTTGGCCTCCTTTGGGATTCGAAGAATATAAGAGATATATTGCTATGACCAAACGCTTGTAAGTTATGGAAGATGAAGATTGGAAAGTACATTGTAAGTTATTCTTTACCCTCAGACTTCTAAGACCAAGAACACTGAGGAGAATGATGTTACAGGTGCTTTTTATCATAATATTGTGGTTGTGCAGTAGATCATTCTATATGCTATTCACTGTTCACTGCCCTTCAACAAATCAAGTCAGGCTTTCTTTTGTTCAGGAAATCTAACCACTTGAACTATATTATAGCTCAACACACCAACCTGGCCTTGGCGGTAAAAAGCTTTGACATTGTCTTCTCCATCATAAATTGCATCATTAGCATCTATCAATGCTCCAGTTAGATCTCCTAACTTCAGTTTACAGGCCTGAACAAGAATGTTAAGATTATTTTGCGGAGCAAAAGAAAAGGAAATGCTACATAGTCCAGAATCAAGAACAAAGTCTAAATATGTATATGTGATCAGTCTGAATATCCACAGTAATTAGAAAATCAATGAGTAAAAATTCCATAGTACTTAAAATGAACAATGAAGAAGTTCCAAGTCATCACATAAAGAAAAAAAAAAGTTGAAGGCATTTCAAAAATATCTAACTTATGGAAATAATTAAATGCTCTTCAATGCTAAGTTGCTCGGACTCGGGTGTCTGACACGGGTGCGGATCCGCATGTCGGATCCTTCATGATCTGATTTTTAAGATTCGGGGATATGGATCTAGATACGGTACGGGTGCGGGGACACGGCAAAAAAAAACTAAAAATCTAAAAATATACATAAATATGAGACATTGTGGAAACTTATAATGTACCGTCGAAGGGACCTGGTTTAACTTTGATTCAATAATACTCTATTTTAAGTCGAAATTATTTCATTTAAATAATACTCTACTTTTGATTTTATTTTTGAAAGAAGACTCCAGGGACTTGGTCTCACTCATGTTATGGACCATTATCCATGTCCAAATATATAACCAAATTTAGCCCAACATTCAAAACCAAATCTGGCCCAAAACCATGACCGACCCAGCTCACACCCTATTTCTCCAAACCCCACGTTCCCCTCTTCTCCATTCACGTATAGAACAAAGCAGCCAGTGAAACAAAACCCTAGTTCAGTTCCAAAACGGCACTGCATCCCTTCTCTCTCACAAATTCATACACCAATGTGTGCTTAGCACAAGAGCTTTGATACCATGCGAAGATTCTAGAAACTCCTCGACAGTATATTACTCTAATTTATCAAGAAAAAACCTTCAAAGGACTAGTATGAATCACTATATAGTCCGATCTATTCAAATCTTTACTTTGAGATATCAAAATTTCAATTTCTTCTCTAAATTGTTGGTCAACACACCCAATCTCGTTTGACCGGATCCGACACAGATCCCAAACCCTTATGTGCGGCACCGATTTTTCGGTGTCCGAGTAACTTAGCTTCAATGTATATAGACATTGATGGCGAAAATGTATAGACTAAAACAAGGTTATTTATTAGTATTTATTTATATGGAAGAAACATTAACAAAGCTGATTTCTTCAGGAAAGTTATTACATCCTCAGGATATGTTCTCACCATAAAGCTCAGGAAAGGGACTAGTTCTTATATTATGTAACTGAAAGTCCTACTAAGGCCTACAATATTCTAACAGAAAGAAAATCATTACGTAAAACCAAATGGTTGCAAGAGAATTTAGGAGAACTTACAGAACTATTTGCAAGTATCTGGGACTTTGTCTTCCTCAAATACTCGCTTTTTACTGTATAATGAGGCAAATAATTCCTTCAGACAGATGTCCTAGTTATGAGAAAGCAAATCAGATAGTCATTTAAAGCTGCAATTAGAAAATTCACCTTCATCAATGTCTTCCTTTTCCCAGCATAAGTCGGTATAACGAACAGCCTTCCTGTACTTTCTGATAGCCATCTTATAGTCTTCCTTCTGCCCATGACAAATACGAAGATGATATACAATCACATTTTGAAATAGATAAAATGTGCAACTAAGTCTAAGCCCACGGATGAAAAACAACAGAAAAGTGGAGAAGAAATGGTGTTACATTGTTTGCTCTCACTCTCTTTCATTTTATTTATTTAGTTATTTTTTGCAGTAGATCTTATTTTATGTAAAGAACAAGCTATCAATCCAAGCTTACTTTTGGAAACATATATGTGTGAACTTATACAACAACACAAGGTATACTTGAAACAAACAGGAAATATCCATTAATCTAGTACCTTGAAATGTTCATTGCCAAAGGCTTTGATACAGTCAACAACATTTATCCACCAAGCAACCTCGTCTGGTTTCACGTCAAGGTCTATTGGCCAATCAGGGTAAGTATCACCATCTTTAAAGAAGTTAGTTGTGCCATCATCTGCACCCTCTGGAATTTCTCCACAGTCCTCTATTATCACAGGAAGATCAGGAAAACCATTTTCACTTGTTTTAATATGTTCAATTACACGAATCATCCCCAAACCCCTGATTACTCGTCCAAATACAACATTCTTTCCATCTAGAACATGTGTTTGAGAAGCGGTGATGAAAAATTGAGACCCATTTGTATTTGGACCAGAATTAGCCATAGAAAGCATCCCTTTTCTTTCATGTTTGAGTTTAAAATTTTCATCTTCAAATGTCAAGCCATAAATTGATTCCCCACCACTGCCGTTTCCAGCAGAAATGTCCCCGCCTTGTAACATAAAGCCTCTGATGACATGATGAAAGCAAGAACCCTGCATAAGAAGCAAACAATATTATAATGAATGGAACAAAAAGCTAAAGGGAAAGGTAAAAATGGACAGTCACATACAGAGAATCAATTTATTTGGGTCACTAAAAAAATAGATTTAGATAGGATAGAGCATGAAGTAACAGAGACAGTTGCTTTAGAGGTTCAGATAATTCCAGAACATACACCCAAAATTCATGCTGTGTTGGAACTGTAGTATTATTCTAAGCAATCACTCCTCATTCTCCCTTATTATATCATCATTGGCATTAGAGTGTTTGTGTATTCCAGAATATCATATCATATAACCAAACTGAATTGAAGGACGATGATTCATTCCCCGCCCAAGGAGAGAACCGTTTCCATATGTGCAACCCGACTTACTTTCATGAAATTTGAGAGAAGAGCCCGATTCTCCTTTATTCTTTCCTAAGATTAAAAGTAAATTCACATATACTACTTCCCTGTTCAACTGTAAAATAACGCGAAGAAACAAAAGAACAGCAAAAACATTCCACCCCTACTGGCACAAGAAGATCAGAGTTTATGACATGATTCGTAAACATCAAACAGAGTGAATCATACTGCTATTTTCAAGTAAAATAGTATTGAAGTCTTAACAAACATCAACTCGTACAATAGGATCACATGCATTCAATACACCCAAAAACTGAAAAGGTGGGAACTAATATACAGCCAAAAACTACTACAAAGTCTACAAATAAGCCTCAATTCCTAACTAGTTGGGATTTGACTTCATGAATCATCTATCTGACCATATACATTCCTCAACTAGGTCTATTTCATTCAAAAACTCAACTATTCATGTGTTGAAGAGAAAAAACACAAATGCACAAACATATTAAAGGACGCAGAAACTATTTACGCGTAGACAAATAGAGAAAACGGAATAAAAACCTTGAAATGGAGGGGAACACCGGTGTTAGGGCCAATGCCTTTCTCACCAGTACAAAGAGCCCTGAAATTTTCAACGGTTTTAGGAACAATGTCTTTGTAAAGCTCAATCACCATTCTTCCTTCAAGCTCTCCACCAAGGCTTATGTCCAAATAGCATCTCGGATTCGCCATTTTCTCTTAGACTCGAAAAACGCTTCAATGGAAAAAACGGAAACCCTTTGAGTTTTTGAAGGAGCAGTTTATGCTACAGTACGCGGTGGACAGCATGCGATTTTCCTGTTTCTGTCAATATCTGTGGACTGGTAGAGTGTGGAGGATCATTTTGGACAGTTATGGGCTGAAACAAGCCCATGGGCCCACTACGACCTACTAAGCCCAGTTTCCTTCTGTGATGACAGCTGTCCCTTTGTCAGTACAATAGCGCCAAATATAGTCTGCTTTTTGTTGTATTCTGTCGCTGAATAAAATTTCGCATCCTATGCGAAAAATATACTTGTTGAGAAGAATTATTTTTGCAAATTTTTATTTGTTTGCGCTAATGTTAAAAAATTGAATTTCAAAATTATGAAAAAGATTTGGAAAATAAATATCATAAAAATAAGAAAAATAATTTTTCTATATAAATAGGAATTTTTTTCCATAAATGATATTTAAACTTTATTATCTTCTGGATTATCTAATTCTCACCATAAATGTTAGATTTGTATAAATATTTTTATTTATTTATCAATATATTATAAAAAACAAATAAGAAACTTGCTTGTTTTTTCAAATATTTTTAATTAAGGTATTTTTCATAGTACAAAACATTTCCTTAATTCACGGGAAATAGAAAGAAAGAAAGAAAAAACTGCACTTAGCTCCACCAGTCCACAGCGACAACAATAGAAACAACATTTAATAAGGGATGTTATCTGACACTATCTAATAAAATATTTCATTTTTCATGTGTAAAATAATTTACTCCCTCTGAGAAGGATTTCCCTTTTTCTTCTTTTCGGAGCCGACAACATTTTAAATTAATACGAAATAAATATTAATTTGGGACATAGAATTGAGTTTTTGGCTAAAATTATCATGAAGTATGACTTAACCTAAAGTATATTTTTGTGTTATATAAGTGAACAAAAAATATCATTGCATTATTCAAAAAACTGCAAGATTCATCCTTATATCTATTTTTTTTAAGAAATTCACGCGACCAACAAAAAAAATGTGTCAAGTCAAATAAATATATGTACACATGGGTTAAGCTAGTCAAGTTGGGCGATTTTTCTAAATTTTAGAACTTGAGGGTTTAAATCATATTCAGACAAAATATTTTTAAATTCTAAATAATCTTTGTAAAAAGTATGGCCAAATACAACTCCAATTTCAAAAATTTCAAATAAAGTAATTATTTTTTTTATTTCATAACTAAATGCCTACGTAATTTCACTAAATTTCCAATATTTATGTACATTGTATAAAATATGAATTGCATTGTATATAACGTACATACGTACTAAATATTTTATTAAAGAAAATCTCTAAATAGTTGGCGTAGTATTTTTAGAATGATTTTTTTACATAATCTTTCTAACCATCGGAACTTACTGTATAAATATTTCAAGACTTATGTATTGTTCAAGTCAATTTATTTGATGATGCAAAAAACATATAAACTAACAACACACAAAATTTAAATTTTGAGAATGAAAGATTAATTTCCTATCTATATCCTTATTCTTTTTAGGTAACTTTGATCTTCTCGTCGTGGCTAAAACATGACCAAATTAAAAAATAAATAAAATTATTGGTTCAATCAGTTTCTTAACAAAAATAGACTGAAGGATGATTCTTGTTATTTTTTGGATAGTATAAGGATGTTTTTTGTTCACTTAGATAATATAAGGATGTATATTAAATTTGAGTCATAGTTAAGAAATGATTTTAGCCAAAAACTCAATAAAAGTCTATTAACATCGCAATTTTTTTTAAGCTCTTGGATAGAATGAACTTAAAATTGAACTGCAATAACTGATCAAAATCTTTTGCGTAAAAGTCGTTGTGCTAAAAAGGGGACAAAGGAGATTAACTCAAGTGAGGTGCCATTATTTGTAACTAGTATTCGTGCCTGACCAATGCGTTTATTATCCTCTTTTGGGTGTGTTTGGTATGAAGGAAAATATTTTTCGGAAAATGTTTTTCAATTTTCTCATGTTTGGTTGGGTTAAATGTTTTGGCAAAATGTTTTCCAAATCAACTCATTTTCCTCAAATTCAAGGAAAATTACTTCCCTTAAAAAATTAAGGAAAACATTTTTCAAAACTTTCCACCAATTTCAAATTACAACTTTTTTGTTGAAAAAAAATTTAAGTTTGTTTTAAAAAAATATTTTCAACTACAAAATTTCAATTTTTCACCCCTACCCTCGACCCCCTCTCCTCACCCATCCCCTACCACCCCCCACGCCCCAAAAAAAATTTAAGTTTGTTTTTAAAAAATATTTTCAATTTCAAAAATTATTTTCTACTCTAGTAAAAATAAAAGACATTTCTCAAAAATATTTTTTCATTCATAAATCAAACACTAAAAATCTTTTTCGGAAAATATTTTTTACTCACGAACCAAACATGAGAAAATAAGTCAAAAATCAACTTGTTTTTCAGGAAAACATTTTCCTTCATACCAAACACACCCTTTGTCGTTGAAGGATGAGAATTAAATTCAAGTATCGTATACATTATTAGCCCGATACTTTATAGGAATAATGAGCATGCAAAATAAATCTGCTTATCATAAGAAATTCGTTGTTCTTAATCCTGTTTCACCAAAATTCTTATTGGAGCAAATAAAAGTTCTCTCTTGGTACAGGATAGCTCTGTTTATGTATTCTTTAACAATTTATCAAAGACACCGAAAAGTGTCTGCTGCCCTTCTTGTATCTGGTTAGTTAATTTTCATGTCTTGTGTTATTTTTTGTTGTCTCTACAAAAGTTGCACATTTGCCCATATCTGCATTCCAGGTTTCCAACTCGACCAGTTTTAATTTCAAGCTATTTTAGTTGTCCTGTTTGTGTTGTTTAGGGCAGCCTTGGAGTAACTAGTAAGTTGTTGCCATGTGGCCAGGAAGTAAGGTTGCGTACAATAGGCCCTTGTGGTGGGGCCCTTTCCTCGGACCCTACACATAGCAGGAGCTTTAGTACCGGGCTGCCTTTTTGTTTGTATTGTTTAGGTAATAGATTGGACAAACTTTGTGGAAGCCATATATAACTAACATTTTTACTATTAGACAAGAAGAAACTTTGGTTAATGGATCTACGCCAAATAACATAGTACCAAATAAAAATAAAATAAAAATGTGACAGTGAATTCTTATACTACATCAAACATGCATTGATAATATGTTATTAGCTCGCAGAGCTAATTATCTCACAATATTTTGGAACTTTCTAATTCACCACCCTACAGTTCTTTCTGATTTCTCCATTTTGTCCTGTTAGCACACCTATGTTGATCAGCTTTACCATTGATGCGGCGAACTCCTTGGAAAAAAGATATGGATACTTGCTGAAGTTTGACACCAGTGCAGCAGTCGTATTGTCATTCATGAGAGCTTGATCTGACTCAAGAAGCCCCGAATTGTTCATTAGGTTCTTGAAATATACATTGTCAAACCTGTTAATTGTGACTGCATCCAGAGGAGCCAAGTTGGAATCTGAATCTTTCTGGTTGGGGCATACGCTTCGCAGACTGCCTAGTAATGATGAATCCAGTGTTGGTTCAGGATTGCCTGATCCATCAAAATCAAATAGCCTTCGTTTGAACGTGGAACATTGAGCAAATCCAAGGGTGTGGGCACCTGCATCAACGTATGACAAATACTTTCGACTTTACTGTTATAATTGATAAAGTTAACTGATGATACATGAAATTAGTGCGAGAGGGAAACCACAAGGCTCTTTTAGTAGGAATTAGTAACAAAAAGAAAAGGAGGCATGTTGGTTTAGGTTCAGGTACCTGAAAGCACCACAACATCTTTTACATCAAGACCCTTAGAAACAAATTTCGCAGTAATGTTTACTAAGGGCTCGAAAGGTGATGGAAGCTGATCATTAGCTGCATTCTGACTTGCAGTAAGACTATCTCGACGTCCCAAGCACAATGACCAAAAGGGTCCTCTAGTCTGAAAACATTCGACAAAACAAGTTAGATCGATTACACGGTAGCCGCAGGGGCGGATGTACAGTGCTTCGAGGGGGGTCATCCGACCCCCCTCGGTAAAAAAATTACACTATATATATAAGATTGATTTTTTTATGTACATGTATATATTTAAAATTGAACCACCTGAATATATATCAAAGGAGTAGCCCAATGGTTGAGGGGGTTCAAGATTTCGCTCAAGTGAGCATTGGGTCGCGGGATCGAGTCCAAGCAACAACTTTTTTTTTTGTTGTAATTTTCAGCGATTTTACAGGCTGTTTTTTTTTTTTTTTTTTTAAAGTTAAAGATAGGCCAGCCCATTTTTATTGAACAAAAGGGGCAAAAAAAGGCCCAGATCAGCCCATGTCCACAAAGCCTAAATTAAAGCCCTAAATCATTCTTTCTAATTACAAAATAGGAAACTACCCTAGCAAAGAAAGTCAGCAAAACAGAGAAATTTTCAACCATTGCAAATTTAGAGACATTGAAAACCAAGCCTGTTGCTGCTGCTTGCTGCCCTGGTGGAGGAGTGGTGGTCCTCTTAATCTCATTCTCAGATTCTCTCTTTCAAGCTCCATTTGTGATGGCAACCTCTGTAAGTTTTCTTTTTCGTTTTTTTTTTAATTGTTATTTTTCAGAATTCTATGCTTTGATTATGGTATTTATTGATGTGTTATTTTATTTAGCTAATTGAACTCAAATATTCACTTCTCTTAACAATTTTTTATTTTTCATATAAAAATTTCAATTCTATTCATTGATTATGAAAGTTATAATTTTATTTGTTTGGCCTTATTTGTTGATTTTATATGTTTATTATGGACATTCAACATTTCTTAAATGGATATTAACTTTTATTTATGAGATTCAAACTTTTGTTCATTGTTTATAATTTGTTTTGGTCCTTATTGCATATTTAATTTTTGTAAGTTCTCACTAAATTTTTATTACGATTCAGTCTCAATATTCAGTGAAGAAGTATTTTACACAAGTACCGAAATCAACTTTAGACTCTCAAAGTCATAGTCAATCTAATCAAAAAGAAAATACTAATTATTCAGAAGTGTCGTTAGATTCTTCTCAAGAATTTGATTTGAGTTCTTTAAAGTTTGATCCTGGTGAAAGAACATCAATATTGAACTATCATCCAAACCACCGTGATGTTATTAGAAGAGCATACCTT